CCCCAAAACCCCAAAACCCCAAAACCCCAAAACCCCAAAACCCCTTGGATTATTTTATCCTATTTATATAAAATAAAAATATTATGAATGGACTCGCTTTTAGTAATACAAGCAGGCTCAATTATTGTAAGTTATCCTAAGCAAGCATCTTAAGTATATATTCTACTTATCTTATTCCTGAGTATATTCTAATTGATGTAGCGTTTAACAGAGGAAGAGGAGGGCTTACTTTAAGCGGAGAATTCAGAACTGCAAAGTCAAATTCCTCCCACAGACAATCAGTACAACCTAATTTTATCCCTTCAAAAGTATCTCTTGGGTCTATTGGATGGGGATTGACTCCAAAACTTCACTCTGTTGATACTGAAAAGCGTTCTTTATCCACTTTCAGTATTTTAAAATCTCTTAGAAAGACTCCAACTCTAGTCAAGTCGAAGGATAGGTTCCACATAAAGAGGATTGACAAGGATCATAACATTACTGGAGCAGTTGGCTTCATGAGATTGCCAGGAAAGCTCTCTTCCAAAGTTGATAGAGAACTCAAGATGGATAATTCTACCTTCACAAGAATGAATATCAACTACCAAAGAAAGTGAATCCAAGATATCGTCAAAGAGATGTCTCTTAATACAGGGAAGAAGCAATCTATTCACCTCAAGAAAGCCTCTTATAACAGAGGGATTCCTAAGAGAAGTATCTACCCCACAATGAGAGAACTTCTTGAAAATCCTGGTAAATTATTAAAAATAAAATTTAGAAAGCAAAACTCTGATAGGGTTTGAGAAGTGTCCTAGGTATCAGAAATGGAAATCAAATCATGACCCTAATCGTTCAGTAATGGTGTCGAAGACTCCATTAAAGAGCACTCGTGAGAGTAGTTTTTACAGATCAACTTTTCAGTCAAGGAGACGCAGCTCCAACGGTCCTCCTGCTCAGAGGAGAATGTAGGTAGAACCCTGAGATCCCGAAATAAGATTTGATGTTTCAACCTCAAATAAATCAAAAGGGGTTTTGGGGTTTTGGGGTTTTGGGGTTTTGGGG